AGATAAGTGAACCCCATCCCTAGCATACATGTCATTTCTGCCATAGAAGAGGTCCCAGTTGTCAATGAATGTTACCGCATTTTCCTTACAGTATTTGTTCAGCCAGCAATTGACACCAATTGCCCTGGACAACCATTCATTTCCAACTCCCCTCCTTGGCAAAATACCACATATGAGAGGGTTCCCACCCTTACTTCTAATTATTTCTATTGCTGACCTATACCTGCTAATCAGGTCCTCACTCCTACGTCTGCCAACATCGTTGCCTCCAGCACTGAGACAGATAATAGGATTGCTCCCATTACCTCTCATGATGTCATCCAGACGGCTAACAATATCCTCCATCCCAGCCCCAGGAAAGCAAACTCTCTGTCTCCTACTCCTGTCCTTCAAGCAGAACGCCCTATCCATATACCTAACTTGGCTATCCCCAACAACAACAATATTCGTACCTTCCTTAATGTCTTTCGTCGTGACGTTCCCAGTAGTCGACTCACATTCGTCGGGTAGCACTGAGAATGTATTGGATGTTTCCACAACAGTTTCCACGGCAGTCTCTTTCTTCTTCATCGTTTCTACCTTTCCATTCGTCTTCTTGATCGTCAACTTCTTTCCCTGCTGTCCAGCCACTGACCAGTTTCCCTTCTTGACCTGAGGACTCAAAACAGGAGGACTACTCCGAATCTTTTTGTTTTCCTCGGTCAGTCGCCGAATTTCCATATTCGCCAACCTCAATTCTTCCTTAAGCTGTTGGTAAAGTTGCTCGATGGAGGGCATCTTGCTTCAATTCTAGAGAGCGCGCAAACAGGTCTTCACAGAGCCAAGTACACGTCAACACTGCGCAAAAGCCAACTCAATCAGGAGCTACTGAGCAGCACGTCCGCACAGTCCAATAGCGATGCGAACACAGCGTTTTTAGTGATTGCACCTGCAAAATAAGTCACCATGGGCCCCAAGAAAGCTTCTAGTGCCAACCCTACAGCAAAAAGAGTGAGAATTACTATGGATATGAAGAAAGAGATCACTGCTAAGTATGAAAGTGGAGTGCGTGTCTCCGAGCTGGCAAGGTTGTACACAAAACCCCAATCAACCATCGCTACTATTGTGGCCAAGAAAACGGCAATCAAGGAAGTTGTTCTTGCCAAAGGTGCAACTTTGTTTTCGAAACAGAGATCGCAAGTGATAGAAGATGTTGAGAGACTGTTATTGGTGTAGGTTTTGTGTGCGAGGGGCTTGGACTTCCAGCAGGCATGCGTGAGCGTGTTTGATAGGAGTGAATGGAGACAAATGGTTTTTAATACTTGACGTGCTGTTGGAGTGTGAGCAAAGTAACATTTATGAAGGGATTCAGGGAAACCGGCAGGCCGGACTTGAGTCCTGGAGATGGGAAGTACAATGCCTGCACTCTGAAGGAGGGGTGTTAATGTTGCAGTTTAAAAACTGTAGTGTAAAGCACCCTTCTGGCAAGACAGTGATGGAGTGAATGATGGTGAAAGTTTTTCTTTTTCGGGTCACCCTGCCTTGGTGGGAATCGGCCAGTGTGATAATAATAAAATAAAAAATAAAAATAAAACGAAAAACAGATAGCAGGAGATAGCATCTCTCAAGCGATCTTATGTGAAAAGGCTAGGAAGTTGCATGACAATTTAATTAGAAAAATCCCAGCAACTAGTGATGATTTGAGTGAATTTAAGGCCAGCAAAGGTTGGTTTGAGAGATTTAAGAATCATAGTGGCATACATAGTGTGATAAGGCATGGTGAGGCTGCCAGTTCGGACCACAAAGCGGCTGAAAAATATGTGCAGGAATTCAAGGAGTACATAGACAGTGAAGGACTGAAACCTGAACAAGTGTTTAATTGTGACGAAACAGGCCTGTTTTGGAAGAAAATGCCAAACAGGACGTACATTACTCAGGAGGAAAAGGCACTCCCAGGACATAAGCCTATGAAAGACAGGCTTACTCTGTTGATGTGTGCCAATGCTAGTGGTGATTGCAAAGTGAAGCCTTTATTGGAGTATCACTCTGAAACTCCCAGAGTGTTCAGGAAAAACAATGTCCTCAAGGCTAATTTGTGTGTGCTGTGGAGGGCAAACAGTAAGCATGGGTCACTAGGGACTTTTTCTATGACTGGTTACACCATGCATTTGCCCCCACTGTGAAAAATTACCTAATTGAAAGAAGTTAGACCTTAAGTGCCTCCTGGTATTAGACAATGCTCCTGGTCATCCTTCAGACGTGGCAGAGCGACTTTCTGCGGAAATGAGCTTCATTAAGGTGAAGTTTTTGCCTCCTAATACCACTCCTCTCCTGCAGCCCATGGACCAGCAGGTCATTTCCAACTTCAAGAAACTGTACACAAAAGCTATGTTTGAAAGGTGCTTTGTAGTGACCTCAGAAACTCAATTGGCTCTAAGAGAGTTTTGGAGAGAGCACTTTAGCATCCTCAATTGTGTAAACATTATAGGTAAGGCTTGGGAGGAAGTGACTAAGAGGACCTTGAACTCTGCTTAGAAGAAACTGTGGCCAGAATGTGTAGACAAAAGGGATTTTGAAGGGTTTGAGGCTAACCCTGGGAATCCTATGCCAGTTGAGGAATCCATTGTGGCATTGGGGAAGTCCTTGGGGTTGGAGGTTAGTGGGGACGATGTAGAAGAGTTGGTGGAGGAGGACAGTGAAGAACTAACCACTGATGAACTGCTAGATCATCTTCAACAGCAAGAGGCCACACCTGAGGAAGCTGCTTCGGAGGAGGGGATAGAGAAACTGAGGAAGTTGCCTACTTCAAAGATTAAGGAAATGTGTGCAATGTGGCTTAAAGTGCAAACCTTTTTTGATGAAAATCACCCTCACACAGCTATTGCAAGCCGTGTTGGCAACCTGTACACTGACAATGTTGTGAAACACTTTAGGAATGTCATAAAGGAACGGGAGGTACAGGCCTCTATGGACAGATATGTTGTGTGACAGAGGTCCAGTGACTCTCAAGCTGGTCCTAGTGGCATTAAAAGAAGAAGGGAAGTAACCCCGGAAAAGGACTTGCCACCTCAAGTCCTAATGGAAGGGGATTCCCCTTCTAAACACTAACACCATCAACACTCTCCCCTCCTCCCATCCCATCAATCATCACCAGATCTTCAATAAAGGTAAGTGTCATGTAACTGTGCATGTCTTCTTCAGTTTGTGTGTATTAAAATTAATATTTCATGTGGTAAAAAATTTTTTTTGTTCATACTTTGGGGTGTCAGGAACGGATTAATTTGATTTCCATTATTTCTTATGGGGAAAATTAATTCGCCTAACGATAATTTCGCCTAACGTTGAGCTCTCAGGAACGGATTAATAGCATTAGGCGAGGGTCCACTGTACATGTATAAGCCATAGAGTTGATATTAGCATTATACTGAAGTATTTTCTCCTCCCTCCCGAGAGCCAGGATATTCCACTGGAATGGATTAATGGCATCTCATTTAATTTTAACAAGGAAAGTTGATTTGATACACGAGCAAACTGAGTTTGCTACCACTGTACATCTAAAACTTTTCCCGTCTTTGATACTGTCAGAGCTTTATGTTCATTTTTCTTCTTAGCACTTCCAGCATCACTAGTATTCCTGAGGGGTGCCATAGTTAATATCCAGAGATGTGAAGGGGGGATCAAATGGTCCAAAATCACTGAACACAGAAAGAGTAATGTATGAGACGCTTCAAGAATACAACTTTAGGAGGGGTGGGTGGCAGTACTGAAGGACAAGAACTGTGCTTCTCCAGTTTCAACTTGGGTCAAAGGGAGGGGAAAAATTCCAGTGCCAATTATCACGAATTTAAGCTTAAATGAATGCTATACTGCTTCTTTCACACTTTACAGCTTGCAATATCAAACATTTTAGCATGCTATGACTTTTTTTTTTTTTTGGTGACACTCTTTCAACAGCATTAATACAAAATCATGTAACCTGAGTCCATGCTAATCAAAGGTTTACTGTATTTTTAATGCATACATTTCTACTGAAACAGCACTTGAGGAAGAAATAGTAGAGTACACAAAATCTTGACTTTACTAAAAATCTTTAATCAAAACTATGTCAAGAATAAGCTTCAAGAAGAAAGATTTAGGAAGAAGAGGCTCAGCTGGTTGGGTATATTCTTGGGCATATTCATAATGTGATCAGTGCCAATTTTAGTAATAAACTGGTAGCATCAAATCTAAAATCTGGCTTGTGCCAGTAACTCTTTACAGTGGAACTTCACCCCAGACCCTATAAGGTGATATTGATTTTATATACAACTGTCAGGGACTCAAAATGTAATACTAATAAAAGCAAAAAATGATGGTAAACTAATAAAAAACTATAAAATAACTAAGGGAGAAACTGTACTGTTATATGAATGCAAGGAATACTTCTCTATTTACAATTCAATTTTTACACTAAAGGGAGCAAGAAAGCTGCAGATAAATACAATTTCTGTGCACCAGCTAGGTAATTGCTGTCTTCTGGTTATAAATTTACTTGCTAATGAATACATATGCCCACAAGAAATAAATATCAACCTTCAAGAATTACATCTAACTTTGTTACACAGTGCACTACACACACACACATGTATGTATGTGAATCATATAAGGCAAAGTCATTAGATTACATAGAATACACTAGCTAGGCCCCTGATTCCACAAGCTTTAAATCAATGGCTAATTTAAATGCTATGCACCAATATATGTACATCTACAGTCATCAACAGCTATGATTCAGCTTAAAAATAAAATCCTTATACCTAAGAATATGTATACTATTTTAAGGACACAGTCCTGGGAATAAAATAGTCTGAATTTAAAGAATTTTTTTTAAGTACCTGTAACTACAGTACTATTTAAAATATAAACGAGATTACATACAAATAAGAGAAAGTTTATAATAAACTCCTTAATAATAAAAAGCTGAAATCACTTAAGATTTGACTATGTATGTGTAATGCACAATGCAGTAACTGTCTGCTCACCTTGAAGTACTTGACAGTTTTGACCTTGAGCTCTAGTGTTGCATCTTCATCACATAACATAATCGTCCGTGGATGCTGCTGGAAGGCTGACACTGTCCACATGTGATTTACACCCTCCTCAATGGCCATGTGAAGGGCATATGCCTTATGTGATCCAGTGATCAACACCATCACCTGCAAGAAAATTATATAACTGTCTTCTAGCAACTGCAGAGCTGAGGACCACTTCAGAGACTTGTGTGAAACCTTCCAGAAAACATATCTTTGTACATTAATGTGTCATCAAGGACTGTCTTATTTCCAATGGGGTCCATCAATCTTGTCCCCCAGGATGCAGCTCACATCAGTCAACTAACACTCTGGTACCTTATTTAAAACTAAGGTACAGTAACATTCTAGGTAGTAGGTTGGTAGACAGCAACCGCCCAGGGAGGTACTACCGTCCTGCCAAGTGAGTGTAAAACGAAAGCCTGTAATTGTTTTACATGATGGTAGGATTGCTGGTGTCTTTTTTTCTGTCTCATGAACATGCAAGATTTCAGGTACGTCTTGCTACTTCTACTTACATTTATATCACACTACACATACATGTACAAGCATATATATACACACCCCTCTGGGTTTTTTGCTATTTTTTTTCTAGTTCTTGTTCTTGTTTATTTCCTCTTATCTCCATGGGAAAAAGTGGAACAGAATTCTTCCTCCGTAAGCCATGAGTGTTGTGAGAGGCAACTAAAATGCCGGGAGCAAGGGGCTAGTAACCCCTTCTCCTGTATAAATTACTAAATTTGAAAAGAGAAAATTTTGTTTTCCTTTTTGCGCCACCCCGCCTCAGTGGGATACGGCCGGTTTGTTGAAAGAAAAGAAAGAAGTACAGTAACATCTGAACACTTGCTGAAAAATTATGATGATTTAGAAGCTCAAATAGTAAAGTACCAACAACAAAAAAAGAAAGCTGGCTAAACAGAAGTGGAGAAAAAATAGAATGAAGAGCTATGCAGACAAGTGTTTTCAGGAAAATTTTGGTTTGGTAGAAAGACACTTGGTTTAGAGCAAACGTTCCTTGCAGATAAAGTGTCTCTCTGGGTAGAGCTTTATCAAGCTCTACTTTGAGTGAAATCTATGTAATAAAAATCTGCTCTACACTACGTGTCTTTCTACAATACTTGATGGAAATATTTGCTAACATGCACGTTTTGTTCTATCTAGTATATTTTAGATAATGAATATTGTTCAAACCTTATTTGAAGAATATCTGTTTTTGCAAGTGAAATGTACAAAGAAAACATTGCTTTTCATTGCTAATCTTTCAGCTTTATCACAAACGCCACCATTCTCAATAAAAAATTTTTAGCGAGGATTTTTATTATATTCCTGGAGAAGCGCTAAACCCACAAGGATCACACAGTCAGAGGGAATAGCCTGATAATCAGGCTTAATCCATGAGGATGGTAGCTCTAATTCTTTGGATAGAGAACACTTTCCTAGCCACAAGACACCTCCTTCAAAGTAAACTTAGTGGGATAACTATCCTTACAGCCCAGAAAAAGTGATCATCTACATGTAAAAAATTCTCCCATATAACATTTTTTTTTTTTTTTTGGCATTCAAATTTGCAATTCATAACACATTTAGACACATATTTTTATATTTAGTTTTTAATCATAAACATGTTATACTGTATTTGAAAACTTATTTCTTAGTTAAATGAAGAGAGAAAGTCATTTGAACGAGTCTGAGTAAAATGACCCCAAACGGAATAATATATTTAATAATTAAAAAACAAATCAAGTCATGTTATGGCAGTAACAAAGGAAACTTCTTCAGTGCTATGAGAACCAGAAATAAGGTTACTTTATCCTCTGTCTTTAGTAATTTTACAAAACACGCACCTCCCTGGCATCCATAACAGTGCCAACACCCACAGTCAGTGCCTGCTTGGGTACTTGTAATATGTCATCACCAAAAAAACGTGCATTTGCTGTAATGGTTTCTTGGTTGAGTGTTTTGACACGTGTACGGGACACCAAACTGGAGCCAGGTTCGTTAAAGGCAATGTGACCATCAGGTCCAATTCCTGAAAGTAAATGTAGAAATTCAATACAGCATAGACTGATTAATCTGGTCTCTTCTCAACATAATGGAAGACTTTGCTAGCACGAACAGCTTTGGTGTTAGCCATTGTGCTTTTTAGTCTTCCTTCACATCTTGTACTCAAGATAGGTAGCTAGCTAGCTAGCTAGCCGTAGCTCTCGAGCTCGCTCACTCACTCACTCTCTCTAGCTCTCCAATTTAACATACTGAGACTTCCTACCACTGCAAGCTGACTCAAAGAAGGAAATAAATTAACACCTGCTTCCAGGTTGCACTGTACTAACAATCTCACTGCTTTCCTTATGCCCTATGTAAATATGCTCATTTTATTTAGCCTTCAACACAATTTCAAACCTGGGAAAAGTTTTTCGATTCAATCCACTCTCGCACATGCCTGTTGGATGTTCAATCCCCTACTTTTGAAAACCCTTCATATTCTCATTCATTCATTTATTCATTCATTCATTCACTCGCTCACTCTCTCACTCACTCACTCTCACACAAACACAAACACAAACACACACACACAACACACCCCACACACACACACACACACACACACACACACACACACACACACACACACACACACACACACACACACACACTGTCTATCTGTCTCTCTCTCTCCTATTCATACTTCCAAATCATTTAATTTTCTCACTCCTTATTCTCGGTATATTCAGAACAATATACAGTGCTCATCACAGCATTATGATGCCCCTCCCCTACACACATACAAAAACACAAACACATACCATGTAAGATTATAAATACATTTGCACACTTACTGAGGTTTTAATACTTGGTGCGCTGCGTCCTTTACGTTTGATCATGTCCCTCAGCCGTGTAAGACACACAAATTCTTGAGGGTTTGGGGAGGTATATAATTCCATGCCTCGTGTAGAGCACCATCCAGCCGTGGAATGGAACTGATATTCTTGCCCAGTAAACTTCATTTCACTATTGACCAGAGGTTCTCAATAGGGTTTAGGTCTGGAGAACTGCATGGGCAGTCATTCAAGAACCTCACTTCACAGTCCTTAAGCCAATGAACTACAGATTTGGCAGTATGACACGGTGCACCATCCTGCATAAAAACTGTAGCCCCACACTTGTCAAATGCCTCAGGTAAATTGTTACACAACTCCAGGTAATCATACTGGTTCATATACTGGTTTTTGAGTTTACTAACACTGTGAGCACTGAAACACCCCCAAACCATGAGCAAGTCTGGGTGTTTGGTGGTGCCACAGGTGTAGCGTGGGTCTAGCGGGTCACTATCTCTGGGCCGGTACACATTCACCACGGTTACAGGTGATGGTGAAGGTTGCTTCATCACTCCAAAGTACTTCAGACCACTGTTGAGGATTCCAGTAAAGATATTTCTTTGCATAATCCAGCCTATGTTTTTTCTGTGGCTTGGAGAGGATTGGTTTCTTAACCTGGTGGTGACTACTGTAGCCCAGTTCTGAAACACATCTGCTAACAGTTCTTACAGACACCTCTGAGAGAAGATGTGGGTTCTTTTCTTTCAATTCTCTAGCAGTTATCTTTTTTAACACAGTTAAGGTACGAACAGATGTCTTCTTTGAGGGGCCAGGCCGAGGTTTGGCAGACAGTATCTCGACACTGCCACCAGTCTTGAAACACTGCACCCAGTTCCTCACTGAACGCTCGCACACATCAATATTCTCCACTATTTCTTTCATCTGGTGGCAAATTTTGTGAAGCCCTATGATTTGAGCTATAGTTTCAGGAAGACAATAACAATATTCCAGTAATTAATTTTTATAGCCGGCTAGAAGAAGATAAATTACGTAACATCACAGTCACTAGTGAAATGGTTGTGAAGCAGATAGACAGACTGAAGCAAAATAAGTTGCTGGGTCCTGATGAGGCTTTTTCAAGGGTTCTTAAGGAATGCAGAATGGAACTCTGTGAACCATTAACTAATATTTTTAATTTATCTCTTCAAACAGGTGTAGTGTCTGATATGTGGAAGATGGCTAATGTAATTCCTATTTTTAAAACAGGGGACAAGTTGTTACCGTCAAATTACCGCCCAATAAGCCTGACCTCAATTGTAGGCAAATTACTAGAGTCAATTATAGCTGAGATTATAAGAAGCCATCTCGATAAGCATAGCTTGATTAATGATACTTAGCATGGATTCACAAGACGCCGGTCTTGTCTAACTAATTTATTAACTTTTTTCAGTAAAGCTTTTGAGGCTGTTGACCACAATAAAGAATTTGATATTATTTACTTAGATTTTAGTAAGGCTTTTGATAGAGTTCCACACCAAAGACTGTTAAAGAAAGTGGCAGCTCTTGGCATTGGGGTAAAAGTGCTCTCGTGAATCGAGTCATGGCTCACAGACAGGAAGCAGAGAGTGTCCATAAATGGGGTTAAATCCGAGTGGGGATCTGTAACAAGTGGCGTTCCACAGGGATCAGTCCTGGGCCCGTTGTTGTTTATAATATATATCAATGATCTTGATGAGGGAATTACTAGCGATATGAGCAAATTCGCCGATGACACGAAGATAGGTAGGATAATTGATTCAAACGTAGATGTTATGGAACTTCAGGAGGATTTAACAAACTCTATTCTTGGTCAGAAAAGTGGCAGATGCAGTTTAATGTAGATAAATGCAAGGTTCTGAAGCTCGGGAGTGTCCATAACCCTAGCACTTATAAGTTAAATGATGTAGAACTTAGCCATACAGATTGCGAAAAGGACTTGGGGGTTATGGTGAGCAGCAACCTTAAACCAAGACAGCAATGCCTAAGCGTACATAATAAGGCAAATAGATTACTGGGATTTATATCAAGAAGTGTAAGCAACAGAAGTCCAGAGGTCATACTGCAGCTTTATACATCATTAGTAAGGCCTCACCTAGATTATGCAGCTCAATTCTGGTCTCCATATTACAGAATGGACATAAATTCGTTAGAAAACATTCAGCGTAGGATGACTAAATTAATACATAGCATTAGAAATCTTCCTTATGAAGAAAGATTGAAGATTCTTAAGTTACATTCACTTGTTAGACGAAGAATGGGGGGAGACCTGATCGAAGTGTATAAGTGGAAGATGGGTAGTAATAAAGGGGATATTAATAAGGTCTTGAGGATATCTCTCCAAGAGAGAACCCGCAGTAATGGATTTAAATTAGATAAGTTTAGATTTAGAAAGGTTTGGAAATAGGGTAGTTGATGAGTGGAACAGTCTACCTAGTTGGGTTATTGAGGCTAGGACTTTGGGTAGTTTCAAATTTAGGTTGGATAAGTACATGAGTAGGAGGGGTTGGATTTGAGTGGGAATTGCACATCAGAGCTTATTTCTTGGGTAGCATTGAAAATCGGGTTGGGCAAATGTTTTGTTAGTGGGATGAATTGTAAAGGACCTGCCTAGTATGGGCCAACAGGCCTGCTGCAGTGATCCTCCTTTCTTATGTTCTTAAGACTTCCTTTAGCCCATAATCAAACATGTACAGCCCCAAAACCAAAGGGAACACCGGACAAAAGATAGGATAGATGAGAGAATGAAGTGCAACACTTCCTCTCACCACGGCAGCCACGTGAGCACTGAGGAGTTACTGTGGAATGTGGTGGCAGGCCATGAAGCCATGCTAATGCCTGCTACCCGGCATAATGCGCTCATGATAAAAGACCCCCCTGTATGGTAGGCCTTCGATTTTCATCACGGCATTATGCAGTGGCACTCACTTGGCATAATGCCGTGACAAGCATTCTATATGAGCACACACAAAATATTCTTTTTACAAATAATTTTACTAGTTTTTTCATTTATTAAAGAAACATCTTTGTTTATTTAAGAATTTGTTTGTAAATTTGCATACAGAGTGGGTACACAACCAAACAGTTTACTGGAATTGGGCAGGCATGAAGTGGCATCATGCAGTGGCGCTTACCTGGCATAATGCCGTGACGAGCACTGTACATCAGCACATATATAAAATATTTTTTTTACAAATAATTTTACTAGTTTTCTCATTTATTAAAGAAACGTCTTTGTTTCTTTAAAAATTTGTTTGTAAATTTGCATACAGAGTGGGTACACAACCAAACAGTTAACTGTAATTTGGCAGGCACGAAGTGGTTAAGTCTGATTTCACCTCTCTCTCTCTATTGTAGCTAACTTTTTTACCTGCAACAGGATGGCAGACATGAAAACAGTGTCTAAATGAGAAGAATTAATAAGATTCACATTATTACAGGTAAATGTACATAAAAGTGAATATGTAGACAGTTGTTAGCACCAAGGAAAATAAAAGAAATAGAACTGCACTGTACAATATTACCTCCAATGAAGAGCTCAATTCCTCCTGCTTCTCTGATCTTCTGCTCATAATTCTGGCACTCTTGTTCTAAGTTTTCTGCATTGCCATTGAGGATGTGAGCATTGGCTGGGTCAATGTCAATGTGCTTGAAGAGATTCTCCCACATGAAAGTATGGTAGCTTTGACTGTGATTCCGGGGAATACCTGACATACAAAATTAAGAGTATAACAATATGAAAGTTTCCAGTTGGAGAGATCTAATTACTGTTGGTAAAGAATTATGCAGCATTCATGATAGAACAAGTACTGTTGGTGCCAACAAGCACATGAAAATAGTGAATGGGCAGTGTAGAGGCTATAAATTAGTTTTTTATGAATGCAAGACATGACTGAATGCATTGCTCTTCAAACAATATAAAACAATATGTACCAGAATATGCTTGTTTAATGATACATTGGGAAGAATAAATAAGAGCAATTAGAAGTAAAGCATCTAGCAAATAAAAAGGGAGAAAAGGGGAAAAATAATTTTAGTAATCATACATGGAACCCTAGTATAAAATAATGAACTTAAAAGGTTAGAAACAATTGGATAAAGAATTTTATAAAGCCAGTGTCATTTTACACTAGGGATAACGTGGAGAATCAGGGATAAAGTGAATGCTCAAATTTACACACAAACAATCCTTTTCAAGGAGTCGGTCACCATTAAGGATGTTAGTTAAATGTTACAGACTAACTTCACTGAAAAATTCCTAGGTGTATCAGTGCTTCTCGGTAGTTTTAAATTTTTTTTATTCAGACCAGAAAAATAGTTTTGAAATTGTTTTAAAGCACATTATCTACAAATCCTGCAATATTTTAGGTCTGCCTAACTTCAGACCAAGCTATGAGGATTAAAAATCTCTCAAAACTAGTTACAGGTTTGCATGAAACTAACATACTACTGTACTTAACAGAGAGGTCATGAATACTGCTATTGTACTGTGCAATACTTAAATGTGCCTACTTTACTTGAATTAGTAAACCCACGTGGGTTATTTAGCATAAGGACTGGTGTTGAGGCTAGCCTCCATCCACTAGCCAAAAAAGTCATATTACCAAACTACTCACCTACTTAGAAGCCAAATACAGTGGTACCCAGAGTTTCGTACAGCTCCCAACTGGAACAATTATGCAAGTGTATTATTGTAAGTGCTTTTGTAAGTGTATTTTTGGAGGTCTGAAACAGACTAATCTAATTTACATTATTCCTTATGGGAACAAATTCGTTCAGTAACGGCACTCGAACAGCGTTCTGGAACGAATTATGGCCGAAAATCAGGGTACCACTGTACAAGGAACACTCAATTTAATGGACTAAAGGGAGGGAACAGGTGGCTGGTAAAGGTGACTGTGGTGAGAAATATGAGGTAACCACATTCAATCCAAGAAAGTGAAGGGAAGATCTAATTATCCTGGATTAAGAGTGCATCATCAGCATCAATGGAGGTCAAGAAGCAAAGAACAAGTAGTAGTATGATCAGAAACACATGAAATACAGAGGCAGGTAAGACAAGGATGATACAAAAACAATGTGGCACAGGGCCACTTGGTAGCTTAATCTACCACTATCCTTTTTAAGAAAAACAGAGAATTAATAATATATCTCAAAGGCAAACCTTTTTAAGAACATACCAACATATTCATCCATATTGAAGGTCTTGACATATTTGAAAGAGATTTTGCCAGCTTTGTGATACTCCACAAGCTTCTTGTAGGTGCCCTGTGGGGTGCTACCTGCAAATAGTTATCTTGCTATAATAACATGCCGATAACTTTGAAAGACAACTCTGCAGTTTCTACACTTGTGTGCTACATGGGAAAAAAAATTGTAAGAATTACAAAGTCGTTTGAATTATTATGCCATTCAGTACTTCTGATGAAAGTTAATACGAAAATTATACTCACAAACTACATCTATTGTACAGAATAAATATTCATCCTCACATGCGAGAAAAAATATATAACACTTTAAGATGAGGCAGAGAGGTAATTTTGAGGTGTTCAGTATATAAGCCTCTGTTCTCATTTGCCATCACTGATCCTCTAGATGTCTGTCCAGACAAGCAAAGACATGTTTCTAATGAAACACTGATAGTATGCATAATTCTTGCTCATAAAAATTATGCATGTGTAAATTGCAGTATTCTCGTTCAAATTCATCTAAAATGTAAATGTATAAAGATTTTAATTACAGAGTGGGGGAGTTAGTTGATGGGGAACTGGAAGTATTGGGTAGATGGCGGGAGTATTTTGAGGAACTTTTAAATGTCGATGAAGAAAGGGAGGCGGTAATTTCATGCACTGGCCAGGGAGGTATAATATCTTTTAGGAGTGAAGAAGAGCAGGATGTGAGTGTGGGGGAGGTGCGTGAGGCATTACGTAGAATGAGAGGGGGTAAAGCAGCTGGAACTGATGGGATCATGACAGAAATATTAAAAGCAGGGGGAGATATAGTGTTGGAGTGGTTGGTATTTTTGTTAAATAAATGTATGAAAGAGGGGAAGGTACCTAGGGATTGGTAGAGACCATGTATAGTTCCTTCATATAAAGGGAAGGGGGACAAAAGAGATCGTAAAAATTATAGGGGAATAAGTTTACTGAGTATACCAGGTAAAGTGTACAGCAGGGTTATTATTGAAAGGACTAGAAGACAGAGTAGGATAGTAGATGAGCAGGGAGGCTTTAGAGTGGGTAATGGAATGTGTAGATCAAGTGTTTACATTGAAGTATATATGTGAACAGTATTTAGATAAAGGTAGGGAACTTTTCACTGCATTTATGGATTTAGAAAAGGCATATGAGTGGATAGGGGAGCAATGTGGCAGATGTTGCAAGTGTAAAGAATAGGTAGTAAGTTACTAAATCCTGTAGAATTTTTATGAGGATAGTGAGGCTCAGGTTAGGGTGTGTACGAGAGAGGGAGATTACTTCCCGTTAAAAGTAAGTCTTAGACAGGGATGTGTAATGTAACCATGGTTATTTAATATATTTATAGATGGAGTTGTAAAAGAAGTAAATGCTAGGGTGTTGGGGAGAGGGTTGTGATTAAATTATGGGAAATCAACTACAAATTGGGAGTTGACACAGTTTCTTTTTGCTGATGATACTGTACTTATGGGAGATTCTAAAGAAAAGCTGCAAAGGTTAGTGGACAAGTTTGGGAGGGTGTGTAAAGGTAGAAAGTTGAAAGTGAACATAGATAAGAGTACGGTGATGAGGGTATCAAACAATTTAGATAAAGAAAAACTGGATATCACATTGGAGAGAGGGAGTATGGAAGAAGTACATAAAGTTTTCAGATATTTGGGAGTTGACTTGTCAGTGGATGGGTTTATGAAGGATGAGGCTAACCATAGAACTGATGAAGGAAAAAAGGTGAGTGGTGCATTGAGATATCTGTGGAGACAAAAAAAACATTATCCATGGAGGCAAAGAAGGTAATGTATGAAAGTATAGTGGTACCAACACTCTTACATGGGTGTGAAGCTTGGGTTGTAAATGCTGCAGCCAAGAGGGAAGGCAGTGGAGATGTCTTGTCTAAGAGCAATGTGTGGTGTGAATATTATGCAGAGAATTCGGAGTGTGGAAATTAGGAGGAGGTGTGGAGTTACTAAAAGTATTAGTCAGAGGGCTGAAGAGGGGTTGTTGAGGTGGTTTGGTCATTTAGAGAGAATGGATCAAAGTAGAATGACTTGGAGAGCGTATAAATCTGTAGAGGAGAGGAAGGTGGGGTAGGGGTCATCCTCGAAGAGGTTGGAGGGAGAGGGTAAAGGAGGTTTTGTGGGCAAGGGGCTTGGACTTCCAGCAAGCATGTGTGAGCATGTTAGATAGGAGTGAATGGAGATGAATGGTTTTTGGGATCTTACGAGCTGTTGGAGTGTGAGCAGGGTAATATTTTGTGAAGGTATTCAGGGTAACCGGTAAGCTGGACTTGAGTCCTGGAAATGGAAAGTACAATGGCTGCACTTTAAAGGAGGGGTTTGGGATATTGGCAGCATGGAGGGACTTCTAAACTGTCGTATCTGAGTGCCTCTGCAAAGACAGAGATTATGTATGAATGAGGTGAAAGTGTTGAATGATGATGAAAGTATTTTCTTTTTGGGGGTTTTCTTTCTTTTTGGGTCACCCTGCCTCAGTGGAAGACGATCGACATGTTGAAAAAAAAAAAAAATGAACGTTGTACCATATAGAATAGGCAGAATTGAGTCGTGATTTCAAGAAATTTATGATAAAAGAAAATAGAAAAATTTAAGCTAAAATGAAAATTATTTTTTATTTCTCATGGGTCATACAAAGATTACAATATGTATATACATAACTGGATACATAATTTGATACCAAATTAGGCACAACAGCTAGCTAAAAATTATACAACACATTTTGAGCAAACTACATAATTAAAAGATTTACAAAATATTGGACCAAATATGTACAGTTACAGGAGCTGCAAAACATGAAAAGTTAAAAAAAAGTAGAAACATAAAGATAATAAAATAAGACAAATGTGTAAAGGACACAAGAAAATTTGCAGACAGTGCTTGCAGTATTATAAGAGATAACTGACCTGTAGGCAAGCCTAGGACGAAGAACTTCTCTGGGCCAGGATTGAAATCATTGATCCTCTTGATAACATACCTCGCTGCCCATTCTGACACCCTTTCCTTGTCATCAAGAATCACTAGACGCATCTGTAGAGATGATTGCTGTGCTTGTATTTATCATACTGCTTTCTCTGTGAACTTTATGAACAAAAGTATAGAAAAAGAGGTGCTACTTTAGCGTGCGGTCTACCGCAGCATTCGTAGTTTGAGGTCTACCTCTTGTATAATTTTTTTTCCTGTGCCGGCCCTTTTAACCTAACGTAACCTAACCTAATCTAACCTGGTTATGTTAGGTTAGGCGAGTATGTGGAGCTGGTAGACAACACGCTAAAGTAGCACCGAAAAAAAATTTAAATTTGAAAAAGTGGAATTTTTAATTTTAGGATGAAATTTAGGCCCTGGACTAGACTTTATGGGTATACCATACTGGTAATTTTTCCTTTGAAAATCTCTATGGCCATATGCACAAACATATTGTACATACACACACACACATTTTATATTTTGCTGCATACCTTGGTTTTAGATTTCTGCTAATCAAGAGCCCTAAATCTTTTATACATTTATGTTGATTATGACCAAAAGTATGTTATTTACATTACAAGAACTGTTTTCATTTTCTTTTTCTCATTAAACTTCATTTACCACTTTCCTTAACAGCATCAACCTGCCTATATAATCCTATAACTCTGGTGTCCTCAGAAATTATTTAATGACCCATTTTTGTCATCAACAAATTTACCTATGTGTTGCTATTTATATCATTCATTTAGACTGAAACACGGGACCCAGCACCAACCCCTGAGGAACACTTTCTTTAGGATTCCTCTTTCTGTATTGCTTTTAATACCCCCTATACCCAAGTTACTAATTTAATATATTTCTTACTGTTGCCATTATTAATGAGGTAAAGTACTGAATGAAATATGGCCCCAGAAACACACAATGAGCCCAAATCTTACAAGGGCAGAATTTGGGGTAGCCGCTAATTCTAGATTTGCAGGAACCATTAAGAACATAACCTGATAATTTGGACGTGGCACTGTGCATTGATTTACCAGAGGGAATCATGGCAAATACATTAAAATAGAGAAAAATCATACATGATCTAACCCATTTTATGGAATGGAGGAAATAAGACAGGCAAATTAATCTAATATCTCCCAGAAAAATAATCTGTTCAAGAAATAATTAATTATTCCATGGGGCAGATAGATTGTGATTATCATAAAATATAAATTTCATTTATATATGAAGTTAGATCTCGACCAGGTCAGACTAAGACAAATTTAATAAGTTTATTCAGGTATAGGTACACAAATAATTACATAAATTATCATACATGGTAGCATGTGTGTAGATTACTTAGGATAACCCAAAAAAGTCAAAGTGACTTATTTCCAAAGTGTCCTTGTAACAGTCAGACTGAGGAAAAACGCAAGACTGTGAAAAAAAGAGACCATTAGCTAGTTATATTTTGGCGATACCTAACATAAAAATTTTTTTATAATGGTTTTGAAGAACACAGGTGTAAGCAAGCAAGTTTCATTTAGGTACAGATACACATATACAGTTACACAAATTATCATACAAAGTAACATGTGTAAATTACCTAGGATAACCTAAAAATGAGTCAAAGTGACTTATTTCCATTGTGGTTCTTGTAAGTGTTATCAGCACATACACAATATTTTATGAAGGTCTAGCATAGTATAAATAAGTTCATTTAGGTACAGGTACACATAAGTACACAAATTTAGGCGGCTAAAATGATCATATGTAGTAACATATGTGTAAATTACCTAGGATAACCCCCCAAAAAATTTCAGACGAAGTGACTTATTTCCACTGGGTTCCTTGTAAAATCTTATTATTTAATCCAATTAAAAATTGCGACTTATTGTCATTGAGATCCCTGGCTACATGAGACAACAAATCTTCAGACCAAATACCTGGAGTTTACCTGGAGAGGGTTTCGGTGGTCAACGCCCCCACAGCTCGGTCTGAGACCAGACCTCGTGGTGGATCAGAGTCTGATCAACCAGGCTGCTACTGCTGGCCGCACGCCATTACAACATTAATATAATCTGGGGGGAAGCGTTAAACTAGTAGGGGGTAAGACAATGCTCAGGGTAAGGGAGGCAATCATAAAACTGTAATTAATTCAGTTCATTTTATTCCTATTTGTATTTAATTGTAATTTATTTTCATGCCTTTGATTTATTATTTATTTTTTTACTGTTAACAATGAGTGACTTACTGTGCCTAAGAATCATCAGGCATCACAAGCACACTATGAAAATTTATGGACCCCAATGGAAATACAAAGACCCTAATGGAAATACGAAGACCCTAATGGAAATACGAAGACCCTAATGGAAATACGAAGACCCTAATGGAAATACGAAGACCCTAATGGAAATACGAAGACCCTAATGGAAATGCGAAGACCCTAATGGAAATACGAAGACCCTAATGGAAATACGAAGACCCTAATGGAAATACGAAGACCCTAATGGAAATACGAAGACCCTAATGGAAATACGAAGACCCTAATGGAAATACGAAGACCCTAATGGAAATACGAAGACCCTAATGGAAATACGAAGACCCTAATGGAAATACGAAGACCCTAATGGAAATACGAAGACCCTAATGGAAATACAAAGACCCTAATGGAAATACAAAGACCCTAATGGAAATACAAAAGACCTAATGGAAATACAAAGAAACCCCCAAAGAAAATACAAAGACCATAATGGAAATACAAAGACCCCAATGGAAATACAAAGACCATAATGGAAATACAAAGACCCCAATGGAAATACAAAGACCATAATGGAAATACAAAGACCATAATGGAAATACAAGCACCCCTAATGGAAATAAGTCAGTTTGTCTATCTTTTTTGGGTTATCCTTTATAATTTACACTATGTATGCTAACTGCACTTATGTGTACCTGTATCTAAATACATTTATTCAATCCTTAAAGAAGGAAGCAAATATACGGTCGCCGGCTGGGATATAAATAGTGATTTTCTAGGTTATCAGCAGTTTGAGTTGTGTTACTCTACTCTATGGTGGTTCACTTTTACTTTACCTTGTAGTAAAGTAGAGGAATGAAGTGGGTAGAGGAATATAGTGTACCTTGGAGTGGGAGGTAGCAGTGTTGGTGGTAGTGTTGGTCCAACAAGTGTGTGTCCGGCTGGTTCAATGAACCTCACTCAGCCACCACTACTGCTGTACACACACACACACACACACACACACACACACACACACACACACACACACACACACACACACACACTGCAAAGAGACCTGGACAGGCTGAACATGTGGTCCAGTAACTGGCTTCTCGAATTCAATCCAGCCAAATGCAGTCATGAAGATTGGGGAGGGGCAAAGAAGACCGCAGACAGAGTATAGGCTAGGTGGACAAAGACTACAGACCTCACTCAGGGAGAAAGACCTTGGGGTGACCATAACACCGAGCACATCACCAGAGGCACACATCAACCAAATAACTGCTGCAGCATACGGGCGCCTGGCAAACCTGAGAATAGCGTTCCGATACCTTAATAAGGAATCGTTCAAGACACTGTACACTGTGTATGTTAGGCCCATACTGGAGTATGCAGCACCAGTCTGGAACCCACACCTGGTCAAGCACGTCAAGAAGTTAGAGAAAGTACAAAGGTTTGCAACAAGGCTAGTCCCAGACTCAAGGAATGTCGAACGAGGAAAGGTTAAGGGAAATCGGACTGACGACACTGGAGGACAGAAGGGTCAGGGGAGACATGATAACGACATACAAGATACTGCGGGGAATAGACAAGGTGGACAGAGATAGAATGTTCCAGAGAGGGGACACAGGGACAAGGGGTCACAACTGGAAGCTGAAGACTCAGACGAGTCACAGGGACGTTAGGAAGTATTTCTTCAGTCATAGAGTTGTCAGCAAGTGGAATAGCCTAGCAAGTGAAGTAGTGGAGGCAGGAACCATACATAGTTTTAAGAAGAGGTATGATACAGCTCAGGAAGCAGAGAGAGAGAGGACCTGGTGGCTAAAGCTCTCGCTTCACACACGGAGGGCCCGGGTTCGATTCCCGGCGGGTGGAAACATTCGACACGTTTCCTTACACCTGTTGTCCTGTTCACCTAGCAGCAAATAGGTACCTGGGTGTTAGTCGACTGGTGTGGGTCGCATCCTGGGGGACAAGATTAAGGACCCCAATGGAAATAAGTTAGACAGTCCTCGATGACGCACTGACTTTCTTGGGTTATCCTGGGTGGCTAACCCTCCGGGGTTAAAAATCCGAACGAAATCTTATCTTATCTTATCTTATCTTATCAGTGAAGAGGCGGGGCCAGGAGCTGAGTCTCGACCCCTGCAACCACAATTAGGTGAGTACAATTAGGTGAGTACACACACACACACACACACACACACATACACACACACACACACACACAGACACACACACACACACACACACACACACACACAGCTCGGACTCGACCCCCGCAACCTCAACTAGGTGAGTACTAGGTGAGTACACACATACAAACACACACACACACACATACACACACACACACACACACACACACACACACAACACACACACCACACACACACACACACACACACACACACACACAGGGGCCAGGAGCTGAGACTCGACCCCTGCAACCACAATTAAGTGAGTACACACAAATATCATGGAGCAGGGAGAGTGAATTAGTATCGACCAGTGAAGAGGCGGGGCCAGGAGCTATGACTAGACCCCTGCAACCACATATAGGTGAGTAATATAGGTGAGTACACACACACACACACACACACACACACACACCCTCTCTCTCTCCCTCTCTCTCCCTCTCTCTCTCCTCGCTCTCTCCCTCTCCGCCCTCTCTCTCTCCCTCTCTCCTCCTTCCCCTCTCCCTCTTCCTCTCCCCTCTCTCTCCCTCTCTCTCTCCCTCTCTCTCCCCCTCCCTCCTCTCTCCCTCCCTCTCCCTCTCTCCCCTCTCTCTCCCTCTCTCTATCTCTCCCTCTCTCTCTCCCTCTCTCTCTCCCTCTCTCTCTCCCTCTCTCTCTCCCTCTCCCCTCTCCTCTCTCTCTCCTCTCTCTCCTCTCTCACCCTCTCTCTCTTCCTCTCTCTCTCCCTCTCTCTCCCTCTCTCCCTCACCCCATAACCAATCTCTCACCCTCCTCTCTCTCTATAGGCTCCTCTCTCCATCTCTCCATTTCTCTCTCTCATAGCCTTTTCCCTCGCCCTCCTTTCTCCCTCTCTCTTTCTCTCCCTCTCCCTCTCCCTCTTTTCTCCCTCTCTCTACACTTTCTCCCCCCCCTCACATTCTCTCTCTCCCCCCTTGGTCTTATCCCTCACTCCCTATACTCTCTCCTCTCTCTCCCTCTTTCTACCCTTTCTCTCTCCTCTCTCTCCCTCTTTCTACCCTTTCTCTCTCCTCTCTCTCTACCCTTTCTCTCCCCCCCACACCCCCTCCCTCCTCTAGCCTTCTGTCTGCGGTAACAAAAAAAAAAAAAAATATGGGTGGCCTTAGAGGACGGAAAACCAGAGATCTGGTAGAAGAACCAGGGAGGAAAGACTGGGAGTTAGAGCTCCAAAAAAGGGAGGAAGAGTGGGGAAGGAAGATAGTAGAGCTTGGTAAGAAAATGGAGGAGCGGATAGCTGAAGAGTGCGGGAAGTGGGCAGTACAGGTCTTAGCAGCAGAAGCTAGGATACAGTGCTTAGAAGAGAAACTGCAAAGCCTGAAACAGATTAGAGAGACAAATGACAATTCAGACGTGACATCAGGAAATTCAAAGTCAGGCGCAGACAAGGGGATGGTAAGCAACAACGGAGACATGCCGTACAGGAAGGCCCTATCAGACCCACGTGGGGCCAGGGAAAAGACGACGAGCACACTGAGATCAAACGACAGGTCTGAAGACAATGATGGAAATTCAAAGTCAGGCGCAGACAAGGGGATGGTAAGCAACAACGGAGACATGCCGTACACGAAGGACCTATCAGACCCACGTGGGGCCAGGAAAAGACGAGAGCACACTAAGATCAAGCGACAGGTCCGAAGACAATGAAGGTTTGTTATAATGCAGAGGTTCTAACAGCCAACTGCAGTAGCAAGGGACAGCTGGCCAGGAAAGACAGTCCACTGAGAATAGAAGTTTCAGATATGACAGGGACTGAAGGCAAGAACATGTCAATGGAAGGAAATAAAATGCCTCAGAGGAAGCAGATGGAGACTCAGTGGGAGGAGGAAAGGGCGAGGTCAGTTTTTGTGTATGGGCTCCAAGAAGCCAAGGGGGCCAACTTTGAAGAAATAAAACAGGAGGAGAAAAAAATGATTGAAGGCATCATGAAAACAATAGGGGAGGGCAATATGACCCAGGTGACAAATTTTCAGAGAATTGGGTGGTTTGCGAGTGGAAGGATACGGCCTGTCAGAGTAACTTTCAAGGAAGAATCAGTTCGAATCAGGATTCTGCAAGAGAAAGCAAGACTGAGGGACAAAGAGGGGTACCAGAGAGTATACCTCGACCGCGACAGAACACAAGAAGAAAGGACTACACTGAGAGGGTACAGAGACGCAAGGAGGAACGAGAAGCAATGAAAATGAGCAGGACCCAGACACAGGAGGAAGGGCAAACACACCCCACAGAATCTCCCACCAAAAGACCCCACCCGCGACATTCCCAACGCAACTGAGCAACCTATACTCCAACCCACTCACTGTTCCCTCTGCCACCAACCCCCATACCACAAACCTCACCCCAACAGCTGTCCCTTATGGGCATTCTGACCCCACCCCCATCACACATACCCCACCTACACCACAGCCCCATATAGGCCCCCACCAAGGCTCTCCCCTCCCCCAACCCCAATATACTTGCATGACCACAATGATAGAAAAAGAAACTAAAGGTTTGGTACACAAACGCGGATGGAATAATGAATAAACATGAGGAGTGGAATGAAAGAATCAGTGAAAAATCCCCAGACATCATAGCAGTCACAGAAACAAAACTCGCTGAGATAATAACAGACACAATCTTCCCAACAGGATATCAGATCCTGAGGAAAGATAGAAGGAGTAGAGGGGGAGGAGGGTTGCACTGCTCATAAAACACCAATGGGGATTTGAGGAAATGGAAGGCATGGACATGATTGGAGAAAGAGACTACATGTAGGTACAATTCAGTCCGGAGAACATAAAGTAGTCATTGGAGTGATGTATAACCCACCACAGAACTGCAGGAGGCCAAGAGAGGAGTACGAAGAAAACAACAGGTGATGGTGGACACACTGGCTGAGGTGGCAAGAAGAGCTCACTCGAGCAGAGCAAAGTTACTGGTAATGGGCGATTTCAACCACAGGGAGATCGACTGGGAAAACCTGAGCCACATGGGGGTCCCGAAACATGGAGAGCCAAGATGATGGATGTGGTACTTGAAAACCTCATGCATCAACATGTCAGGGACACAACCAGAGAGAGAGGGGAGGATGAGCCAGCAAGACTGGATCTTGTGTTCACCCTGAGCAGTTCAACATCGAGGACAATCACTTACGAGAGGCCCCTTGGAGCTAGCGATCATGTGGTTCTGAGTTTTGACTATATAGTAGAGTTACAAGTGGAGAAGGTAACAGGAACTGAAGGGGACAGGCCAAACTATAAAAGGGGGGACTACACAGGTATGAGAAACTTCCTGCAGGAAGTTCAGTGGGACAGAGAAATGGTAGGAAAATCAGTAAACGAGATGATGGAATATGTGGCAACAAAGTGCAAGGAGGCAGAGGAAAGTTTTGTTCCCAAGGGAAACAGAAATAATAGGAAGACCAAGACGAGTCCTTGGTTTACCCGAAGGTGTAGGGAGGCAAAAACTAAGTGCAACAGAGAATGGAAAAGGTACAGGAGGCATAGGACCCAGGAAAACAAGGAGATTAGTAGAAGAGCCAGAAACGAGTATGCGCAGATAAGGAGGGAGGCCCAGCGACAGTATGAAAACGACATAGCATTGAAAGTCAAATCTGACCCGAAACTGCTGTATAGCCACATTAGGAGGAAGACAACAGTCAAGGACCAGGTGATAAGGCTGAGGAAAGAGGTGGAGAACTCACAAGAAACGATCAAGAGGTAATGTGAGGAGCTCAACACGAGATTTAAGGAAGTATTTACAGTAGAGACAGGAAGGACTCTGGGGGACAGACCAGATGGGGACACCAACAAGGAATACACCAACAAGTGTTGGACAACATACATA